CATTCCCCACCTTTCTCCAAGGCTAGCCTTAACACCATTCACCACCCAGGAAACCAGATAGGGACAATCAAAATATCAAAAGATACATTATTAAACTAATCAAATATGCCTTCAGGTGTCTCAGTCACAAAGGTTTAGAAAAGTATAAAAATCATTCTACTCACCCTTCCAATCAGCCAGCTGACCCAGAACCCACTGCTGTTGTCATGTGGTTTTGAGCTTCCTAAATAAAACCTCCTTTCTCAGCAGTCATTGCACCAACCTCATTGTTCCAACTGGATGGAATGAACCAAAGATTATTCTTCCAACATTATATACTTTGTACCTCCCAATACATGCCCTTCCCTTCCACTGGGATGTTCAGTTTTTCTTTATTCTCTAGCTTTTTTTCCATTCATCTCAGAATTAATGCTGATCCATTGTCAGATACAGAGAAAGAGTCAACCATCCTACTATCTGCCTCTATGAAATTTCTGATCCTTGTATCTTACTGTGTACGTTCCTTAAGTTTTTTAGGATTACTTTGCAATCTTTGCAAATGTTTTTTACTTGAGTAAAAAATACTGAAATATAAAAAAGGATGAAATTTATTTCTTGTTGCTTTGCCATATATGTTTAATGGATTCTTCTGGAGAAAGAGTAGAGACCACAGGGTACAAAAATCTATTTTATTACCTTATTGCAGGGAACAATGTATTGCAAAAAACCCCAAAAAATTATTAGCCAATAATATGTATCCTGATTTTTAAAACATATATGTATATAAGCTATCTTTCTAATTTTTATTTTCTGTGATTCTGTGAGCCATGTTTTAGGTCTGCATTTGCACTGTACTCGAGGACTACCTGTAGTTAAGGTTTCAGCTTTTCCAAGAGTTCTCTTCTTAAATGGTCATTTGCTCAAACATTTTGACATTTAGTTTTGTTCTGTCAGTCTTAAATCCTTCCAACTGCCTGGAAAAATCACTGCATTTTCTTGCCAAGGTTTTTCAGAAGGGGTTTGCCATTGCCCTCTTCCTAGGGTTATGAGAGGGAGTGACTGGCCCAAGTCACCCACCTGGCACAACTAGATGCCACTGTCTCCTCATTTCTAGTGTGGTGCCTTAAGCATTATATCAAACAGTTTCTTGCTCATTTTAGCTTAAGACTATTCTCTTTTTTCCCTTTAGAAGTGCTTTGGCAAAACCAGACTTGTGGCAGGTTGGGCAGGATGGGTGAGCTCATATTATCTTCTATAAACTTTTTGTAACCAGAACAATAACAAAACAAGAAATCAATTTCATAACTACGATAGACCACCATATACAGTAACATGCAACATCTTCAATTGGAGGAGATAACATATACTCCATTTTCTAATACCTGAAAAAAACAAATATAAATAGATGTACTCCAGAATATTTTATTAAAATTTGCTTGAAAAATACTTCATCCCAACTATTGATATGGTATACTAAAAGGCTTATTCAGATTTTGTGTTATCTATGCCGCCATATATCAAATACATTTTAAAATTTATTTCAGGTAAATGTACATAGGAATATATACCTAAAGATAGGACAAATACTTTGAGAATATAAGAATATTTTGGGAAGGTGTGATATGCATACTTATATGTATAATGTAAGTACCTTTTTTGAGGTTGAGGGGCTTTCAACTAAAGGAATATGACATTTTATCTGTATTTATATTCCTGTATTGAATGTTTCCTTCCTGTTTTCTTACCCTGATATTTCTTGTCCACATTATATTTTGCAGACATATTTCTTGTCCACATTATATTTTGCAGCCATATATATGGCTTTTCCCGCATATAATTGGCAGAATTATTAACCACTATCCAGCTTTTCCCCTACATGTGGCATGCAGAATAGACATTTTTTAAAAGCTGGAAGTAAAAAAGAATGACAAAGGAAGAAATATGTGCCAGGCATTTTGTTTCACCTCTCACTATTTACATTGCAGCCCACATTCTGTTAATAATCTGAGATATTATTATTATTATTATTATTATTATTATTATCGATCATCGCACAGTCAGCCAGATGTTCAGACTGGATTTGGCATTTTGTCTACCTATCGAGTCCTTACCCAGGACCTGGGATAGGCAGATGTGGATGTTTGATGGTATTACAGTATCGTCGCAGGATGGAAGCAGTTCCTAATAAGGCCGCCTTTTGCAACTTGACTAATAGCGAATTTGTCAATGCCAATGGTGTTCAAGTGGTGCTCCAGTTGTTTTGGGATTGCACCCAAGGAGCCTATGACTATTGGTACTACCCTTGCTTGCTTTTGCCACAGTATTTTTATTTCTATTTGTAGGTCTTTGTATTTTGTTATCTTCTCCAGTTCTTTCTCGTCTATTCTGCTATCTCCAGGCACTGCCACGTCCACTATCCAGACTTTTTTGTCTTTCTTATCGACAATTGTTAAGTCTGGGGTGTTATGTTGCAGGTGCTTGTCTGTTTGAATTCTGAAGTCCCAGAGCAGTTTAATTTTATCATTTTCTATGACTTTCTCTATTTTATGATCCCACCAGTTTTTGCTTACAGGCAAATGATATTTTTTGCAGATCTTCCAATGCACCATTGTTGCTACTTTGTCATGCCACTGCTTGTAATCAGTCTGTGCAATCTTCTTGCAACAGCTTACCAAGTGGTCCACTGTTTCGTCAGCTTCTTTGCATAGGCGGCACTTACTGTCTGTTGCTGTCTTCTCAATTTTGACTTTGTATGCATTTGTCCTTAAGGCTTGGTCTTGTGCAGCCAGAATTAGTCCCTCGGTCTCTTTCTTCAATTTTCCTGCTCTTAGCCATTGCCAGGTTTTTTTATTATCTGCTTTCCCAGCTATTTTTTTCATGTATTGGCCATTTAGTGCTTTGTCTTCCCATGCCTCTATTCTGTTCTTCATTTGGTCTTTCTTGTAGGCCAGTTTGGTCTCTCCAGTAGTTAGTAAGCCTTCCTGATATACTAATTTCAGTGCATCTTCATCATTGTTCTTCAGATATTCTTTCAAAGCCATTTTTTCTTCTTCAACCATCTGATGTACTTGTAGCATTCCACGCCCACCTATTTGCCTTGTTAGATAAAGTCTGTCAATGTCACTGCGTGGATGAAGGGCATGATTCATTGTCATTATTTTTCTGGTCTGCCTATCCATTGCTTTAGTTCTGCTTGAGTCCAGTCCACTATTCCAGCTGTGTACCTAATGACTGGGATTGCCCAGGTGTTGATTGCCTTTATGGTATTTCCTCCATTGAGTTTGGATTTTAAGATCTTCTTCACTCTCTTGATGTATTCACCTCTAATCTTTTTCTTGACTTCAGTGTGCTTGATTTTGTCAGCTTGAAGGATACCCAAGTATTTGTAGTATTCTTCCTCATCCAGACTCTTAATGTTATTTTCGTGGGGCATCTTGATTCCTTCAGTTTTCACTATTTTTCCTTGTTTGATAGTAAGTGTGGCACATTTGTCCAAGCCAAACTCCATTACAATATCTTGGCTATCCCAGGTCCTGGGTAAGGACTCGATAGGTAGACAAAATGCCAAATCCAGTCTGAACATCTGGCTGACTGTGCGATGATCCATAATAATAATAAATTATTATTATTATTATTATTTGTGATATGATACATGGTTCTAGAGGAAGCTATTGTATTCTTAATGGCAAATTATTTTAATGAACATGTAAAAGTCAGTATTATTTACACAAGTCAGTTTCATTTTGGTGTACAAATAAAAGATTAATAAACACTGAGAGTAGAAATAAGTATGACTGCAGATAGATGTTTCACTAAACGAAAAATAGCGGGATGGCATTTACTTAAAGAGAGATTTAAAAATATTTCTGTGTAGATTTTAACTAATGAATTAACTATATATTTAAAATTGGTGACTTTTCCACATAATAATTATGAAGATTAAAAAACAGACATTTGGACCAAACCTTCATGCTGATCACTAACAGATGAATTAGCACTGGCAAATTCATCTCATAATCTATCTCTATAGGAAAAAGAAATGCATGGTAAGATTCCTAAAGCTTTTTATTTTTCTGTTTTTAGACAGATTAAGTATTATGGTTGTATTATTGTGCATTGATTCAACATTGTTGGAAAAAAATGCTGAAATGTCAGAGGTCAAAGGTGCAATAGATTGTGTCTCATTTTCTGTCCAAACTCTACTAGAGACATTATTGGCTTGTATTGAGTGGAAGGCTGCCTTTTCAAACTGAGTTTTCACTTCCTTCTGATTGTTGGATAAGGGAATTTATTAATTTATTCTGCTATTATTTGAGGCCCTTTGATTAAATGAATATTAAACTAGCAGTTATGTTGTAACTTAAATTCTATAATTTTCTGTTTAACAATATGCCTTTAAATACATGTTTAATAATCTTGTATTTAGGTATTGGTTTGAAGGCTTGTTGTGCTCTTATTTTAGCCTAATATCTGGTAGAGAAATTGAGAAAAAAATATTTTCATCACTTACATAAATACACACAGAGAGATATTATACAAAGAGGAAATGTCTGCTCTTAAGATTTCCAAATAAGAGATATAACAAATTATTTTCATATATATTGGCTAGATTTACATTGTCTTTTTTCTAGAAGCACAAAGCACCAGACATTGTATTTCTCCAATTTTCCAACACTACCACAAACCTGTAGGAATGCAGACACATTATGATGGGTCCAATTATTTTGAATAATCTTTCATTGATGAAAATAGACCTGAACCAACTTTATTCTATTCCTAGCCAATGCTTTTGATCACTGCATGAGATAGCACAACTGAAAAGAAGAAAGAAAAAAATGTGACTTTTTAGTACAGATGGGTAAAAGTGGAAACGAGAGTGCTTTAATATCCCCATCCTACATCTTTGTGTTTCATGTTCTGATCCTCTGTTCATTCTGCCCATAGTTTGGTTCTCAACACATATCAAAATGCCACTTCCAAAATTTTATCTAACTGAATTTCCCTTCTTTCTTTCTTTTCAGTTATGCCAGCTTTGTCATCAATAAAGCATGGAGAATCGAACCACAGTGCCTTATTTTCTGCTTCTGGAATTATCTAAAAATCGCCATCTGCAGCTTTTGCATTTCTTCTTCTTTTTTGTGTTATATCTGGCAACTGTAACAACAAATTTTCTCATCATCTCTGCAATAGCTTTTGACCATCGACTGCACAGCCCCATGTACTTCTTTCTCATGAATTTAGCTCTGCAGGACCTGGGTATTGTTTCAGTCATTGTCCCCAAATCCATGATAAATTCTCTTTTGGACACCAGACACATTTCTTATTTTGGTTGTGTTGCTCAATATTTTCTCTTTCTCTGCTTTGAAGCTTCTGATTTATCCCTCCTGACTGTCATGGCATATGATCGGTATGTTGCCATTTGCCACCCACTGCACTATGAGATGGTGATGAATTGGAAATCCTGTACCGAAATCATAATTCTAGTGTGGGTTGCTGGTCTCCTCTATGGAATGTTGCATACCACTGGCACTTTTTCCATCCTTTTTTGTTCTAATGTAGTTAATCAATTTTTCTGTGAAATTCCACAGTTGTTAAAACTATCCTGTTCTGCATTAAATCTACTTGAGGCTGGAATTCTTGTGGCCGGTGTTATTGCTGCACTAGGTTGTTTTACTTTTATAATTGTTTCATATGCAGTGATCTTCAAGGCAGTGTTTAGAATCCCTTCTGAACAAGGAAGGCAAAAAGCTTTATCCACCTGTATTCCTCACCTCACAGTAGTGACTATGTTCTTTTTAAGTGGATGCTTTGCCTACCTGAGACCTGCCTCTAACACCCCATCTTACTTAGATTTGGGGTTGACTGTTCTGTATTCACTTCTTCCACCTCTGTTCAATCCAATTATTTATAGCATGAGACTGGTGTGGCCCTCAATGAAATTCTGCTATGGCAAAACTAGAAGTCACTGTGTCCTGGTTTCTAGTGTGGTGCCTTAAGCGCTACATCAAACAGGTTCTCACTCATTTTAGCTCAAGAGTATTTTTTCTTTCATTTAGAAGTGCTTTGGCAAAACTAGACCTTTGGCATGGTGGGCAGGATGGGTGAGTTCATACTATTTTCCATAATTTTTTTGTAACCAGAACAATATGAAAAAGCAAGAAGTCAGTTTCATAACTGTAATAGATGATCATATAAGCTTAAGGGTTTCCAAATGGCTGGTAGGCGGGAAGTATCATCTTGTTTGTTCATGCTGTGTGGGCGTTTTTCTATCTCGATGGCTTCTCTGATTATTCTGTTATTAAAATGTTCAGTTTTGGCGATAATTCTGGTATTTTTAAAGTCAAATTCATGTCCTGTGGCTTTAAGGTGTTGGACCAGGGAAGATGTTGGTTCCTCTTTTTTGACTGAGTTCTTATGTTCTTCAATGCATGCACTTATTCTTCTGTTGGTTTGGCCAATGTATGTCTTGGGACAAGCAGTGCATAGGATTTCATATACTCCTTGATTTTCTAACTCGATTTTATCTTTGGGGTTTCTTAGGATGGTGGATATTTTTCTGTTTGTGCAGAATGCTGTTTTGATGTTGTGTTTATGGAGAATCTTGCTGATTCTGTCTGTGGTGCCTTTTATGTATGGGAGGAGGGCGTTGCCATTTTCTTGTTCTCTGTCTTGGATTTTAGTGGGGGTTTCTTTTTGGATTAGGTTTGTAATCTTATTTCTTTGGAATCCATTGAATGTTAGTACATTGGTGAGAGTGTGTAGTTCGGTTTTTAGGTGTTGTTCGTCAGCTAAGTGTTTTGTTCTGGAGATGAGTGTCTTGGCTACGAAGTTGATCTGTGCTGGGTGGTGGTGTGAGAGAGCGTGCAGAAAGCGGTTTGTGTGTGTTTTCTTCTGGTAGATGGTGTGTCCTAGGGAGCCATTGGATTTCTTGTAGACTAAGACATCCAGGAAGGGAAGTTGGTTATTAGTTTTTGTTTCCATGGTGAACTGTATTTTGGAGTGTAGGCTGTTGAGGTGTGTGAGGAAGTTGTCCAGTTTTTCTTTCCCATGTGGCCAGATTATGAAGGTGTCATCTACGTATCTGAGCCAGAGTTTGGGTTTGTGATCCAATTTTTCTAGAACTAGGGTTTCAAAGTGTTCCATGTAGAGGTTTGCAATGACAGGTGAGAGGGGTGATCCCATGGGTGCTCCTTCTGTTTGTTTGTATTTTTGTCCGTTATAGATGAAGTATGTGTTGGATAGGCAGTGGTTGGTCAGATCTAAGATGTGTTTGGGGGAGTTATATTTGTTTTGGATAGCTGTCAAGGCTTCTTTGATAGGCACTTGGGTGAAGAGGGACATGACATCGAAGCTCACAAGTAGGTCACTGGGCTGTAAGTTTTGTTTCTTTATGATCTCTATAAAGTGGAATGAGTTTTTTACGTGTGAGGTGATGGATTCTGCATAGGGCTGTAGTTGTTTGGCGAGAAATTTGGCTAGGTTTTGTAGAGGTGAGCCTATGGAACTGACTATGGGTCTGAGTGGGGTTCCTTCTTTGTGTATCTTGGGGAGACCATAGAGTTTGGGGCATCTGGATGATTTCTCTCTGGGAATTATTCTTCGCTAATGGGGGAGGCTTTTATTTTGGATCTGGTGGTTTTTTCCAGGTAGGTGGTGGGATCTGTGTTTAGGGGTTTGTATGTGGAGTCTTGGAGTAGGTTGGTTAATTTGGTTTGGTAGTCAGATGTGTTCATAACCACCATGGCGTTGGCCTTGTCTGCTGGTAGGATTATTATGCTGCTGTCTTCTTTCAGGTTATGTAGTGCTGTCTGTTCCTCTTTGGGTAAGTTGCTCTTGGGTGGCTTGCTGGTGCAGAGGATGTTGGTGATTTCGAGTCTGATTCTGTTAGCGTCATAAGGGTTGATTTTGATCAGGCTGGTTTCAACTCCACATATAATGGTTTCAGTGGGGATTTATTTGGCAGCAACTGCAAAGTTGAATCCTTTGGAAAGGACATTGGTTTCGGCTTTGGTGAGGATCCTATCCTATCCTATCTAACTTCAAGTTTTTCATAGGTCCTGGTCAGATGGTGGATTTCCTCCCCGTAGACTTTAAGAATACCAGAACCATTGCCAAAAGTGAACATTTTAATAACAGAATAATCAGAGAAGCCATCGAGATAGAAAAACGCCCACACAGCATGAACAAGCGAGAGATACTCCCGCTAACGCCATTTGGAACTGGCCCTTATCAACCTATGAAAAACTGAAGTCAAAGAGCTTATTTTTATGTGACCTCGATTCCTACGTAACCGCCGAGCATCCAAATCATCCCAAATTTTCCAACTGACATTCCACTCAACTCTGCAGCACCAACAACGGATCTGAAAAGACCAGGAATTGGCCACTAATCAGAAATAACGTCACACAAAAAGATTCCTCCTAGACCGAATTAACAAAGATCTCCTCACACTCCACCTCAAACTCAGCAACAAGATCCACCCCGCACTTTGGGAAAAATCCAAACAACTCGCCGTCTGGAGAGCCGAAACACAGACCACCCTCAAGACAGATACACACACCAACAAACTCCGAAGACTACAAGAACGCCAGAAACAAAACCCTCCTCCCTCACAGCCACACATGAAACAAACAGTTCATAACATCTCAGATAGGATCCTCACCAAAGGCCGAAACCAATGTCCTTTCCAAAGGATTCAACTTTGCAGTCGCTCCCAAACACATCCCCACTGAAACCATTATATGTGGAGTTGAAACCAGCCTGACCAAAATCAACCCCGATGAGGCTAACAAAATCAGACTCAAAATCACCAACATCCTCTGCACCAGCAAGCCACCCAAAAGCAACTTACCCAAAGAGGAACAGACCGCACTACGTAACCTGAAAGAAGACACCAGCATAATAATCCTACCAGCAGACAAGGGCAACGCCACGGTGGTTATGAACACATCTGACTACCAAACCAAATTAACCAACCTACTCCAAGACTCCACATACAAACCCCTAAATACAGATCCCACACCTACCTGGAAAAAACCACCAGATCCAAAATAAAAGCCTCTCCCATTAGCGAAGAGATCCAGCAAAG